CGATCACTTTTGACTAAAAACCTTAGTAAAATATCTTTGAATTTCAAATGACTTGTATTGTGGCAGAAAGGGTAATACATAGTAAGATTGACCAAGTGGTCAATCGGGTATAGACCGTGGTACAATGAAATCAAGGTAGGACACTGCTGCCAATCGATTTTAATTTCTTTTTATACCCTCCACCATAAATAGTATGGAGGGTATATTTAGTTCGTCATTCCGTTTGTAACTCATCGAAATAATACTTTTAAACCTAACAAAGTCAATCCGTTCGTCTGTCCGTCGATTGTAATCACGCTAGAGTCGAAAGTCTGCAGGCAGGTCAAGTTCGAAGATAGGCTATATCGATCCACGACAGCTTCCAGATAATGGTAGTCCCGATATTCGGTATTTTGATGATTTCAGCCAAAAATGTTAATGTAATTGTCTGGAATTCTACGCAAGGAGTTCTTTGTGAGTATTTTAAATTAACGTACAGGCCCATATAATAGTACTCCCGATATCCGGTTTTTGATGATTTTAGCCACATTTTGCGATATAATTTTCTGAAAAAGCTGACCTCTTTGGCAAGTAAACACGATCATTTTCTTTGTTTACAAACTGCTGCACAACGAATGTCTTCTCATCGGAGTGAACCAAATTCGACAGATCACCACTTTCGGATAAGCGCAGCAACTCTTTAACTCTTTTGAGCCTATTTACTTTCTGCTGCGGTGTAAGTTCTTGCCCTTTTTTGGAATTTAAATGGCTTTACCCCAAGCCCATTTTTTATATTTCCCGAATGGAATATTGCGATATGTTCAGCTCACGAGCCATTTTTCGGCCACTGCGATGCGGGTTTCGATCAAGTCGCTTCTTTACTTATCGCACCATTTCTGCTGATGTTGCTTCCGTTCACTTCCATGACGTCGGACTACGCTACCGGTATCACGGTAACGAGCAATTGTACCAGACACAAATGCTGGAGTGCTCTAAATTATAGCCACTTGCGGTTTTCCAGCCAAATATAAAGAAATCACACTATCACGCTTGAATTCCATCACGAATAACTTTTTTTGTGAAAAAAAATTCTCACCAAAATGCTTTTGTACGCTTGTAAACATTATAATTGTAACATTATAATAAGCTGTCACTGAAATAATTTTAACAGCTGTCGGACGGGTGGCTTAGAAATGACAGCAGTCTGAAGTGGGTTGCAGTTTTTTCATCTCACCCTGTATGTTTTTCCATAAGTTATATAAAAAATTAAATAAAAAAAAATACAATATAGACTTTAAAATAATTCAACTTCATGTCAATGTCACAGTATTAAAAAAAAAACAAAAAAATATCCTAAACAAAATCCGAAAAATAATTTAAAAAAATCACGATAATAAATCTCTAAATTATTTTTTAAAAAAGCCCCGGCCAAAATTCCTTCATACTTTTTAAAAATCCACATACATAAATTCCTTAATATATATTTTTTTTAAACAATCCACCTTCATAGCTTCCTTTAATATTAAAAAGAATCATTCGTCAATTACTTGAAAAATATTTTTAAAAAAATCCAAAATCAAAACTTCTTTGAAAAACTCTTGTTCAATTTCATTATTTTCATTTCATTTATTAAGTAATAAAATCGTTGGAAGTTAATTTAGTCTTTGAAAAAACTTTTCATAGATTCCTCGAAATTTATGTTCTTTAAGCCCTTCATAATTATTTTTTTAAATCAGCGTTGTAGTTCCCTAATAAATATTTTAAAGAATACATGTTCACTAAAAAAAAAAACAAACAAAAAAATATAATTAAAATAATTAAAAATGCAAAAAAATGACTTTTAAAAAAACCTAAAAATATATTTGAAAAAGTAGCGTTTATAGTTTGTAAACTTTTTTTTGTTTTAAAATCCATGTGCATAGTATGTGTGAAGTTTTTGCCATGCCAACAACAAACCAAAAATCTCAATTGTAATTTTTATTTTTATAACCCATCAATCTCAGAAAAAAAACTTTGTTAAATCATCACCAAATATGTTTTGCTTAGTTTTGCTTTTTTCAACTCCATCGACATTGTCCAGTGACGATGACCATTGTAATTGAGCTGTTGGTCACAACACAATCATAACGGTGACTTCCGCTTTCACTATCATTTCTTTGATGTAACGCTGCACACCGAGCGAGGGCCAGCAATGTACCCCACCCGTTCGCCTTCTGACGTTGTCCATAACAGATGGGATATTTTTAAAAGCGGTTTTTTTTGCTGAACTTACCCCAACTCATACTCTTTTGGTCTTCATCTGAGTTTAAGTGCGTATATATTTTATGGATGGTTTTAAGTGCACTTGTTTTTTTTTTATTTTTCTTCTCTTAAACTGGCCGTTAATAACAACAATAAGAAACACTGGGACAGAGTGTAATATACCTCCAACCAAAAAAGAGACCTCTAATTATGATCCAAATCAAGCCAAAAGTGTCAATTTATTGGACATTTGAATGTATTTACAAAATTTACAGTGATTATGGGACCTAATTCTTTGATGTGCCTTTATTTCTGGTGCACCCAAAACTTCATTGATGAGGGTATAACAAATCTTCTCAATTATAAATATTTGTGTTGTCAGTTTTTCGTGTGAATGTTTTGATTTAGTTTTTTTTTTTTTTTTTTTTTTTTGTAAAAGTCATTGTCATAACAGTTTTCAATTTAAGAGTACAATTAAGGCGATTATATAAGATTTTGTTTAATTTATTTTAAACAATTTTCTTAAAATCAAATTGGTGTGAAAGATTCCGATAAGTAATGCAATGAAATTACACTCTTAAGTGCAATAAGGTAAACTACAAAATAGAGCAACAAACAAGTAAAAGAAAAATATTAAGTTTGGCTGGGCCGAACTTTTAATTTCCCCCACCATTGCACAAAGAAAACATTTTTATATATTGTTTTTTGAATTCAAACTTAAAAAACTGTTAAACTTAAAAAAAAAACATAAAGTGTGTTAAGCCGTTATATGATTGCGATACCAAAACGAGAGCCTCTGTAGACAATTTTATACTTCAAAGATTGTCATCTACCAAATCTTCTAAAATACCAAATTTGAAACAATTTTGTGGGTAAATGTGACTAGGATTACGCCGTATCGGAAGTACCGAGTATCAGTGGGTATCGTCATATGTGCGCTATAGGAAAACGTGGACCTAAATATTCAATGCTCTGCCACCGGAGTTAGAACCCATTATGAACTACAAATACCAATTTTTAGATAAATCAGTGGGAAATGTGGAAAAATCATCAAAATACTAAATTTGTGGGGCAATACGAAGATGTGGACCTATACATACAATGTTTCGTCCCCGAGCTAGAACCCATTACGAACTACAACTACCAGTTTGTGGCAAAAATCGTGGAAAAATGTGGCAAAAATCATAAAAATACCGAATATCGGGAGGTATCGTTAATAATGGGGCTATACAAAAATGTGGACCTATACATACTATGTTTCGTCACCGGAGCTAGAACGTATTATGACCCACAAATACCAATTTTTAGACAAATCCGTGGAAAAATGTGTAAAAATCATAAAAATATCGAAAATTTGGAGATACCGATATATGGGGGCTATACAAAAACGTGGATATATAAATACAATGTTTCGCCACCGATATATCTCATTTACAATAGTAATCATCCTAGACACAAAGCAAATCGTTCTGTCAAATTTTGAAGCTCTGCGTCTAAAACTACATAAAAACAGCCTTGAGGCTATGCTCGCTTCCTGTCAAATTTGCATGCAACAAGTTGTTTTCATTTATTCAATATTTTTCCTCATTTTAAAAATCAGTTAAACAACAGGAAAAATTAATGAAACGCCCTGATTTTATTTTAAAAATCTAGACAGTTCTATCTTTCAATTCCATAGTAAAAATGGCGAATAAATGCGAGTCTCGCAATTCCGATCTTCCACTCATTGATTTTGAAAATATTCTGTTTTTATTTTTATTTTTCAACACAATAAATACATACGCAAAATTGGCAGAAATCGAGCACACTTAGAAAAAAACTGTAATCAGCTGGTAGATCTACCATATCTTTTTTTGTACCATGGCTGTATCGTGATTTCAACAGACAGACAGACGGACATCTTTAAATCGACTTAGAATTTTACGCTGATCATGAATATATGTATACATTATGGGATCTACGACGAATATTTAGGGATGTTACAAACGGAATGACAAAGTTAATATGCCCTCCTTTTCAAGGTGGAGTGAATAAAAAGATGAAATTGAAATGATGCACTAGTTTTCTCCAGCTCTTGCGTGTAGTTAAGGGAAACACGTAAAATACGCAGGAGAAATCTCCGAAAATTTTCTTTAATACGGTATTTCGTTACGGAATATCAAATGAGCATCGAAGTCGACAACAAGTGTTGCCATCCCATAAGTTACGACAGTGTCGGCATCAAAAAGTAGAAAACTGAATTAAAAATATGTTTATAAAAATATTTCTAAAACATTTTTTAACGATGGAAGAACAAAGATTTCTTAAAATATTTTTTCAATGATTATAATTTGGGGAGTGTATGAAAGAGAATTTGTGAATATAAATTGTATTTTTTTTTTACCACTGATTACCAGGAATTTTGATCTAGGATTTATGTACCCTACAACACTAAAGATTGTAGCACTTATGTATGGATCTTCCTATGTAGTCGGGGAGAGTCAATCCTGCCATGCATTTCCGTCCGTCCGTTTGTCAATGTTATTTTGTAATCACGCCACAGGTCGCAGTTATGACCCGGTCATCACGAAATTTGCATGGGGTTATTGACCATAATTTTTTTGCACAAAAATATTAAAAATTTCCATTAAACCGTGAATATTTTTAATCAATCACGTTTGATAATTTCTTTGATGCTGGTGGCCAAGTTATCTCTAGTTTTTGGTCCACCAGCATTGTATATTTAAATTAAATTTTGTTATATATTTTCTGATCTTGTATTATTTCATAGTAGATATTTTTATTACAAAATAATTTCCATAGGTTCTATAAATTCTATGTGTTCTATGTTACTTAATAAACGATATTATATCATATGTATAAATGAAAACAAATTATTTTAAATGAAAACAAAATTTAAATAAATTAGCTGAAATAATAAACAATTTCAACAAATCATAAAATGATTATAAATAAATTGCTCAAGAACTGTAGTTTACAACGCAGGCAGGTTCTCCTAGCCATTTGCGAAACTAAAATAAAATCGTGAATAGCAATTGTATACACAGCTGCACCATAGTCTTGCATTATCAACGTGCTTGGTTGAATGGATTATCAGGAGATTTGTTCCATTCTTTCATAAGTATTTGTTTCCATTGCGACAGACGCATAGAAGGATTTTCAGCTTTAATGCGAGGCAGGTTTGCGGCTTCAAATGCTTTGTAAGCAGCTCTCATACGTTTCTCTGGATGTTTATCTTCCTCTTCGTCCTTGACACTGTGAAGAACAAAGAACATTATATATATATATACAAAAGAGTATCGAAGAAGAAAACAAACCTCAGCACTGCCAAAGCCTGATCAACAGTAGAGGCGACCTCAACATCAGCCATCGACCTATTTAGATTTTCTTCAATGTAATTTGTCTGCACCACAACACGGGGCTGAGGTTTATTCGCAGCCGCAATGGCATCAAGAGCCCTCTGTTTCTTTTCCATTTCTTCTAAAACCTGTTGACGGCTGATTTTCGCCAATGGCTGTTTTCCCTGGGTTTTAATCGAATTCATTTCCTGGTCCAATAGAGCCTTTGCCTCAGCTTTTCTTCTAGCTGCCTCAGCCCGTTTTCTCTCTTCCTCTTCACGTTTCTGTTGCTTCTTTGCCAACGTTTTATCATCATCCTTCCAAAGAAGGTCCTCTGCTTCTTTTGCAAGTTTGGATTGTGTCGCCTGTTTCGCAGCTGCCTTTCTCTCACGTGCCTCAACGGCCTTACTATTAATTCCCATCTTCTTAGGCATATTGGGATTAGTTTTTATATTTATTTATTTCTTCAACAAAATAAAAGCACTCGTAGAATTTTGTGGAAATTTGCAGTGTTGTTGTTTGTTACAGAAAAAACAATATTGGCAAATGTCAGAAGTTGCGTTGCCAATACAAATGCAATATGCTTTAAGGTTAATTTAGACTATGTGACATAGAAATATTGATTTTAATCATAGAAAATTGTACAAATCAAAAATTTGTTTCGTTATCTTTTGCGATTTTAGAAAATATAATATACTTTAATATAATAAACCTTAAGGACGCACATATGCATATATTTTTATAGTATGTTTACATTAGGACTTCTAGCCGAGCTAAGCTGCTTTACGAGAATTATTTGACTTATTAGTTATGTGGGCAATGAAAATACCTTGAATTTACAAAACTGTGGTAATGTTTCATACTTTTACTCTTATGCTAGGAACACAATTGGAGCGAACGACGAATTTCGCCCTACGCGGCGACAAAATGAGCCGCGAAAATTCGTCGTATGGAACACAATACCGACGAAATTATAAAACAGCTGATGAAGTTGTTTACTTTTTGCTCATTTGTTGACTACAATGAATTATACAAGAACACATAATTCTTTACGTTCTCTATTATAATTTCACTTATGTCCATCTTCTCTATTATAAATTCACTGATATCCATCTTCACTCAGGCGCAAGTACACAAATATATAAACAAATTAATTATGTTTTTTTTATACGAGTAACAGATAGTAGAGTGACCATAACAAATTTTAAAGTAAAAAGTAACTTTATTTACTAAAACACATAAAATTCGTACAAGTATGGCCACCTTGTACTGTTTTGTTCGCCGGTCGCCGGCATATGAAATAGAAATAAAGCTAATTGAGTTCGCGGCGACCGACGAAATTTTCGCCGGTGCCGTGATTGTGTGCACTTCCATATACACATATGTGTTTTATTTTTGACGACGAACATACGCCGCGAAAAAATTCGTCGTTCGCTCCAATTGTGTTCCTAGCATCATACTTTTACTTTAAAGATAATGGTCATGGTACAATAAGGATGTAGAACAGCTTCGTAAAACTACAAAAATACAGCCCTGAAGTTATGCCCGCTTCCTGTCAGACTCATTCAAAATTGTTTTCATTTTTTTTCATATTTTTTCCTCATTTTTAAAATGAGTTAAATACCGCGAAAAATGAATAAAACGTCTGGATTTTTCCCTCAAAAATATTATCCTAACTGTTCAATCTTTCAATTTCATGGCTATACTGGCTAAAAGCTTTAATGCGCGATCCGCATTCGTTTTTCAAAACAATTAATTCATACAAAAAATTGGCAGAAGTAGGGCACACTTAGAAAAAAATTGTAATCAGCTGTTAGCTCTACCTTACCTTTTTATTGTACCATGTTAATGGTAGCGATGGTGGTGTGTCGTTGTATCGTAAACTGATTTAACCCGAAAAACTTATGAAATGAGCCCATTATCAGCCCACCACCTTCTTCGTCTGTTTCATGATAATTATTTCACATAGGATCTAGACATATATATACAATTAATCGACAATATTGCTTAAAATTAATATTTTTTTTTTTTTTCACTGGGGTCATCTTAAAAAATTAATAATTATTAATTAGAACTAAATAAAACATGAGAGAATCATATACAACAAATGAAACAAGTTGTTTTGTACGTTTTACACTTTTCACTTACACTTTTTGACACCTATTTTTTATACCTATACAAATTTTAATTTGTCATTCTGTTTGTATCACCTCGAAATATACATTTTAGCCCCACAAAGTATATATATTCTTGATCAACATAAAATTCTATGTCGATTTAGCGATGTCCGTCCGTCTATGGAAATAACTCTAGCATCCGAACGAATTAAAGTAGATTGAAAAAAATGTACTCAAATGTATGTTATGTCTGCACGACTTTTGGTATTGAAAATGGGCCATGTAGGTCCACGTTTTGGTATAGCCCACATATGGTTCCTCCTTTTCGGTATTTTTGTGGTGAAAGGGACTTGAAGTTCATAATGGGTACTACATACAGCCTATGACAGAAAATTGTCTGTGCAGGTCCACGTTTTCATATAGCCCCCTTATAACGGTACCTCCCAATATTCGGTACATTGTTGATTTAAGCTACATTATTCACCAGAAATGTTTCAAATTTGGAACTTGAAGTTCGTAATGGGTAATACATACAGCCTATGACAGAAAATTGCCTGTGCAGGTCCACGTTTTCGTATAGCTCCCATATAACGGTACCTCCCGATATTCGGTATTCCGATGATTTTAGCGACATTATTCACCGGAATTGTTTCAAATTTAAAGTTTGTAATGGATATTAAAGCCAAAGATAGAAAATTGTCTGTGCAGGTCCACGACTTCGTATAGTCCCCATATTTTTTACTTGTTTTTAATTGGCAATGCAATTACATTTCAATGGGGTTACAGCTTTGTTTGGAGTATTTTCCAATTTGGGTTGACAGCAGATGTGTCGATGCGCCTAACTGTATTTTTCTACCATGGTTATAATTTCACAAAATTCGAAGTTACAAATTTGATCACCAAGATGAATGCCTCTAATTTTTTCTCCTGTATTGGTCTGTTTTCTTTGAATTGGCAATGCGATTACCATACACTGGGATGCCATTGTTATATTATACGAATGTAATACAACTCTGGAAACATATGGGATATGAAAGTAAATAAACAGATGTCGAATTGTTTATAGCTTTGTTTGGAGTATTTTTCATTTTCACAGAATTGATTGACGTTTTTACGGGAATTACAGGTGCTATTGAACAAAAAAAGTAATAATAATGGACATAATCAAGGCCGAAATAGCACGAAAACGTAAACTTCTTGAAGAGAAACAACTGGTCGATGATAAAAAGAAGTTTTTCAAGCGTGGAGATTTGATAGCCAAAAACAATGAAGAAATCTTGCAGAAACAAGGCTACAAGAAACCAGAAAGCAGTGAGGCAGATCAAAGCATACACGAAGGATATAATTTCACCGGCGAGGGACAGAACATATTGCCAAGGAATGAAGTAATACGACGCCTAAGGGAAAGAGGTGAACCAATTTTGTTGTTCGGCGAAACAGAATCCATGGCATTTTCACGTTTGAGACAATGTGAAATTTCACAACCCGAAGCAAATCGAGGTTTCCGTAACGATTTCCAAGAAGCTATGGAACAAGTGGATCAAGCATACTTGCAAGAAATGTTTGCCAATACATCGACGACAAAAGAAGAAAAGAAAAATGAATTTGCCGAATTGGATGAGACAGTGGATTGGGAGAGCATTAAGGAGATGTCACAAAAGATGGGACGTAATAATAAAGAATATGATATGGACGTCATTATGACATTGCTTACATATTTACTCAAATTGTGGAATGATCAAATTGCAGGATACTCGAAGCAGGAAAAAATGTCCACAAAGGTCAAAATGACAAGAGTTATCTACACACAAACCAAGGAGTATGTTAAACCATTATTCAGAAAACTGAAAAATCGTTCGCTGTCCGATGATATTTTGGAAAGTTTAACAGATATTTGTAAGCATTTACTCAATCGCAACTATATACAGGCCAGTGATGCCTACTTAGAGATGGCCATAGGTAATGCTCCTTGGCCCATTGGTGTCACTATGGTTGGTATTCACGCACGTACAGGTCGTGAAAAGATTTTCTCTAAAAATGTGGCCCATGTAATGAATGACGAAACACAACGCAAATATATCCAAGGTCTCAAAAGACTAATGACCAAATGTCAAGAATACTTCCCAACAGATCCCTCAAAATGTGTCGAGTATGTAAGCAAAAAAGATAGAGAATAAAGAAACAAGTACATATTTAGTCAAATATTTTGAGTATATTTATTTTATTATTGTAATTATTATGGCTTTGGGATGTCATGTTGCAAACACATATTTCACACAAAACATGAAACATATTTTAAGAGTATACATTCATTTAGTAAGCCCGGCTTACTTTTTATTTATTTTTGCGACCAAGTTCAGCGGATCTTTGTGAAGATTTCTCAACGGCATTAATAATAGTAGATCTGTAAAGAAAATGGAAATTGTACAAAATGATGTCTAAAAAATTGTAAATAAAACATAATATTTATTTGTCCAAAGTAGTAAAAAATAAAAAAGTTTCCATTCAAGACTCCTCGATTAGATCCGTGTTTTTGCACCACAATATTCTACAAAATATGGAAAAAGTTAATCAAATTTGAGCGTGGATTGCATTGATCTACTTCTTCCGGTTACTTTTATTGTAAATTATAGGTAATTAATGGAAATGTATATGACCAAATTTTAAACATTAAAATCCAAATTGTACTCACACTTGTGGCAACGTAATCACAACGATCCAATTTATTGTATTAATCATTAAAAGAATTTTAAAATTGGTCAACACATGAGTCTTCACTATTTGGGGATTTTCTAAATTTAAAGATTTTACCGCCAATGAAAAAAGTGTTGTCTTAATTATTTTGCAGGTTAATCAAGATTTTTTTGTATAAAGAGTAATTTTCGATTTCACGTATAAGTGAACAACAAAAAAAAAGTGTCTATCTGGATATCATATTCGAGGATTTTCTAAATGTAATGTTTTCCACCGCCAATTAAAAAAAGTATTGTCTTAATTCTTTGTTGATTAATCAAGATTCGCATATAAAAATTAATTTTCGTGTCAACTTTGGAGTCGACCAATAAAAGGAGTGAAACAGAGTTTGCCTAGATATCCACAGTCGACGTTATGACAACATTTGATTTAGTGAACGATATCCTTGTGCTGTCGTTGCAACTGTCCTAATCTTGTCTCTAAACAGGCTGTCCTAATAGGAGTAGAATCGAGTCGTTCCGGATTGTACATCCGACTGTAATAGGAACTCCTTTATTTGTAGTATTAAGGGACGGTTCAAAAACGAACATTTACTATACTAGGTCTATCTTTTTCTTTTCAAGTTTCTAATATTTTATATAAAGAATACATGGTTTCAATTACCTTAAATTACCCTTTTCCAATTCATGTACACCCACAATGGTAGCACCGCCTGGTGAACAGACTTCATCTCTTAAAATGGCAGGATGTTTTCCGGTCACCAAAACAGTCTTTGCCGCACCAAGAACAGTTTGAGTGGCAAATTGTAAAGCCATTTGACGTGGAACACCATTCTTTACTGCACCATCAGCCAAAGCTTCAATTATAGTATAAACGAAAGCCGGACCACAACCCGATACGCCAGTAACACAATCAATCATCGATTCGGGTACTTGCTGGGCAATACCCAATGAATTTAACATTAAATGTACTTTTTCCAAATCTTGTTGTACGACATAGGAACCGGGAGTGTAGACGGTGCATCCTTCACCAACTTGCATAGGTGTATTGGGCATTGTGCGTATCATTTTCAGCCGATCAATAAAGGAAAATTGCTAAAAGAGTAGTATTTTTTGTAATAAGGTGATTTAAATTTGTATGGGCTAATTCCTACCTCTTCCAAATCCTTTAAACAGACACCCGCCAGCACCGAAACAAACAGTTTTTCCATGTCTTTGATGGTGCGCACATGATTGTTACGCAGTTGTTCTGCACATGGTGCCAAGATGTGGGGCTTAACACAAATGAAAATTATATCGGATTTATTTAGCACCTCATTATTGTCATCAGTTGTGGCAACGCCAATGTCACGCCATCTCTGTAAATTTTCAATGTTAGGTCCCGATACAAAGACTTGACCGGTCTTTACTATTCCACGATTTATTAGACCGGAACCTATGGCAAATGCCATATTGCCGCCACCAATGAAACCGATTTTTTCGTCCAATTTTGCCATTTCTGAAAGGAGAATAGTAAATATTAGTATGAATATTAAATTATAGGCAGGAGAAGAATTGTAAACACAGTATTCTTGAAATAAAAAAAAATATATACAGAAAGCATTCAGTATCATGAAAGTCTTATGGTGGGAAACACCCAGGATCAAACCGTATTTTTTTTTAAATGTGCCTTTGGGAATATAAAATTTGACACAAAATTTAAATGAATTTTCATCAGGTATGTTGTGGACACCTACACACTTCTGATTTCCACAATTCACAACATTATTTGAGAAATCATATGTAGTTGCGTAATGAAAATACATTTGTTCTGGAATTGAAATAAATTGAAGCCTTGCTCGTCAAATTTTTAAATTATGATCATTATTGCATGCATACACATGAATGTACGGCATTCATTATTCAATTATATTCTTAGGTGTTTACATTTTCTTGCTTTTGATACGTGGAATTTCAGTAGATCGGCTTCAGCTTTTCACACCCCCCGCACCACTTACTTCAATGACTACCAACAAACTAGAAAATATTAACAAAAATCTTGGAATAGTTTCCACTGCACTTGCTCTAATCGTCTCTGATAGTTTAATCTTGATAATTTGTTTACAACAATAAAAATGTTATGAACCAAGTGGTTGTTGTTATCACCAAATTTTGATGTAATGTTTCGAGAAAAAATCAAATTATCTCTATAGCTGTACCAACCGAAATTAAGGAATACTTACTTGTTTTCTACTATATTATTGCTTGGGGTTTCAATACTAATTGGAATTATTTTTTTTGTTCCAATTTGTGTGCGGTTAAAAGCGAATATTTACACGACGACCGGCCAAATACACAGCTACACCAAATATATACGACGTGTGAGTATTGCCTGACAACGGCAGTCAAAAACAACACCAACTATGAAATCCAACGAAACCGTTACCACAAAAAATAATATTTTTCACATCAAATTTTTAAGGTTTTAAGTAATTTTTCATGTATACATTCATTTGTCCATGGTTTCGGTAATGTTTATTTATAAGTTATAATAGTTTTCGGAACTTAAAACACTATATTTTTCAAGAATGCGGCTAAACCAACCACAACGAACGCAAGATATCGATAACCGAATGTTTTTTTAAGACGAATATGCCAATAAAGAAAATTACGAAAAAAGAAATATAGCAAAAATATGACATAAAGACGAAAATCAAAACAAAAACCAAAATGGGTTCCAGAAGACCGATAAATTCCATCTAAAGGGTTCTAGAAACACCATTCTGGCCCAATAAAACAGGTGTTCGTCATAGGTTAAGTCACAGGGTGTACAAATAATGATTTCATATAAAAATCTTAATATACATGGTGTCATGTTTTTGGGGGGAAAATGCCATAAGTTGTAAAACACATTGATATTTAAAATCGTAGATAAACAAAATAGTACAAATAGTATGAGTAAATAAAGAGGGAATTAAATAGTATTTTTTCTTGATAAACCGACATATAAAATAACATTGAAATCGGAGTTATTCTCACAAGGGTGCTACACCAAAAAGTGGAACAATATGACCTATTTTTGGTGCCAATGATTCCAGATGTAATTCAAAGATCTCTATCAAATTTCAAAGCTATATCCAAAATAATGTGAAACATACCTCTAACTATAGGCGTCCTTCTGAACATTGTCAAACATATAAAAGTGTCTTAACATTTGACCTAGAACCCAGAGCTTCTTTGGGCTATTACTAGCAAGCCCGCTTGACATTTTCCACAACTCAGACTGGCTATTTTACAGTGAAATTATAAGAAAATTTACAGCGAGTTTGAAAAAGTGCTACATTTTTCAGAAATATGATATATTTTTTATTAACAAAAATTCTTGCTATTTTTTATGGTCCATATTTAGTATATAAGTGTATTTTGTTCAGAGACACAATTAAATTTGATCTAGAATAATTCTTACTTTTACATTTTTTTTTAATTTAATAATTGCTTAAGGGAAAGAATATATGTCCCTTGGAGATGTTGGCTCGTGTTTTGAAAACACGCAACCTCAGATAATTTTCCAATTTTAAAACGGCGCCTCTTTCGACATTTTTTGAAATGTTTTCCTTATTGTGAGTCGCAACCCTTTCATTAGGGATACGCCATAATTTAACACTTTCTACAAAAAATTAAGTACAAAGGAAGATTTTGAACCGTATTAGATACATGTTAAATTTACAGTAAAAAACTTTTATGTGTTTTATTTTCACTTTTCCCACCTTCCGTCTAAAACGAGATTTTATGTCACTTTTAGGCGTCAAGTTGAAGAAAGTCCAAAGAAATGTTGATAAAAAATAAGGAATCCTTTTGATTTTATTTGCGATCATTGATACAATTATTATTATACCGTACAACACTATGTGTTGGTTTGATTGGCCCAAAAATTATGTAATACCTTGAAATATTGCTTTCCCACATAGGAAAGTTCATATGGATCTTCCCATCTCGCCGAGCTGAGTTGATCTAGCTATGTATGTCCGTCCGTCAGTTTGTCCATGTTAATTTGTAATCACTCTACAGGTCGCAATTATGGCCCTATCTTCACGAAATTTAGAATGGATGTGGGGCTAGGGCCAGAATAGAAGCCAATTGCTTTTGGAGAAGATCGCATAATATTTATGAACCAAAAACCGTACGACTATAGACTTTGCTTACTTGTTAATTTGAATGAAATAGCATGCCTAAAACGCCATTGGTCATTTTTAAGAATGCAATTTTTTTATTTTTGAAAAACTGAATGAAAAAGCATCCTAAAACTCCGAAATGTAAATATTTAAGAAGTTTCGACCGTTGTAAAATAAAATAAATGAAAAAGCATGGTCAAATACACAAAATGTCAATATTTAGAAGTTAAGGCCATTTGTTTTAAAATAAACTAAAAGAAAAAAAAAAAACAAGTTTAAGACCCCTAAATGTTAATATTCAAGGAATTATGGTCATTTTTAAGAATGCTATTTTTTATCTTTAAAAAAACTCAAAGAAAAAGCATCCTAAAACTCCGAAATGTAAATATTTAAGGAGTTTTGACCGCTGTAAAATAAAATAAATGAAAAAGCATATTTTTAAATACCCAAAATGTCCATATTTAGAAGTACAGGCCACTTTAAAGTATGACTTTTTCATCTTTAAAAAACCGAATGATAATCCATGTTAAATCCCCGGGAATGTCACTATTTAAGAAGATATGGCTATTTTATAGCATACAATTTTTCATCTTAAAAAACTGAATGAAAAAGCACGTTAAAAGCCCCGAAATGTCAATGTTTAAGAAGTTATGACTATTTGAAAGTACGCTATTCTCCGAACATACTTTTTCTGATCTTTTTAAATATAAAGAATTAAAACATGTGTGTTGTTGTTTGTAATAATTAATTTATTTTTTTCTACACAAATATTTGAGCTTAATTACACATTTCTAAAACTATTTTATACGCCGATTTGACACTTGCTCTTTTATGTACAGAAACAAAATTTTCTACACACTTGATTGTCGTTGATAGTAAAACGTTTAAAAATTTTCATTATGCATATATAGACATTTTGTTGCATTACACATTTAGAATTAACTAAAAACAACTACACTTTTTACTCTAATATAAGTATACAAATATAACAATTAGATAGATATACATTCAATTACACACATAGATAGAAAGAGTAAATAAGATATTATTAAAAAAGAATTGTTTACAAAAGTTTTTAATTTGTTTGGAATTTTATATTCATTTTCCCTCTGTAACTTAAAGTAAATAATTTCAAGAATTATATTTAAAATCACAACTTATTAGGCTAATGACTATTTTATAAATATTCTTTATTTGCTGTTTGTTGATATTTTTCGTTTAACATTTTTTTATCGCTAGATAAAAGTCTTACATTTTGTGTCTTAATTTATTTACAAAAACATATGGTATTAACTTAATGGCAACTTTTATAAGTAGTTTATATTTTATATTTATATTAAACAAGTTTTTTTTGTTTTTGATTGTTTTTTAGTTCCTAAAGTAATTATTGCATTCATATTTTTTTCTCTTCTAAAGTTTGTTGATATGTTTATGTTTTATATAATTTGTTTAATTAACTAAACTATTTTTATTTAAAATTGTATTTTGGCTTGTTCTTGGGGGATTTTCATTCGATTCAATGTTTGTTTAGGTAATTTTTATCATTCGTTTCGTGGGTTTTAAAATATTTTCATAATTCGGTTGTTGTTTCGACTTCAGAACGATCCAAATCGTTCAGATAGGAAAATCCCATTTGACCATAATCACGTTTTCCAAAGGTGACATTTTCATTGGAGGGACTTAGGTGGGATAAATCACCATTGGATCTGCAAAAAAACAGAGATGTGAAAATGTTAATATTTCTTGTGGAAAAAATGTAAAAAAATTATAATTTTTTTTTAATTTTTTAAGGTCGTCTACAAAAACGACTTTAAGGTCGTCTACAAAGACGACTATAAGGTCGTTTACAAAGACGACTTTAAGTTCGTCTATAAAGACGACTTCTATAGGTCGTCTATAAAGACGACTTTATGGTCGCCTATAAAGCGACATTAAGGTGGTCTATATAGACGACTTTGAGGGCGTCTACAAAGACGATTTTTATGTCGGACTTCTCGAGTCCCATTTTGGAGAGCTTTCTCAACACTCACCTCTGGAACAGTGGATTTGTTATTGGCACTTCATTGTAACCCCTTTGAATATTATGCTGTTGATGATTTCTACCCAATGTATTTGTCATCAGCTCACCATTACTGCCTACATCCCCATTGAGGCTACCATTCAAATTGGAATTGTTACCAAATGTGTTACCCCTCCGTCCCAGTGTGCTGTAAGCATTATTTTGTAAATTTGCCAAATTATTACGACTAACACTATCCATTTTATAGCCTCCATTTTGATAATGATTGGAATTTTGATGTTTTATGCGACCCAATGTCAATGTGCCCGGCAATGTACCATTTGCTGCCAAGGGATTGGCATTATTGCGAGCATTCATTTCGAGTGTGCGATTGAAGGTATTTTGACGATTATTCATGGTGCTGTGATTGTTGTTGTTATTGATGTTATTATTGGCAGACATATTATTTAAATTGCTATTGTTGTTATTGTTATTTCTTCGCAATGTGGCAATCGTGGCTGTTGTCGCTTCCGAATGGGAGGGACTTGTCTGGCCACCACTTGAGCTACCATTATGTTCCTTATGGGTTATATAGCTAACATTGTCCAGAGAAAATGCATGGTTTTTGGCACTGAAATCCAATTGCAGTTCATCATCACCATCTGGTGGTACAGCCATGGCCAAAACTTGGGTTTCATATTCTTTCAAATTAGTCACGGTGTCACCAGAATTAGAGGCCTGAGAATTTACAATGACGGGATCGTAACGTGTGGGACTGGGAGTGGAATATTGGCGCATGCGTTGTTTGAAGTTTTTGTATCTAGAAAAGAAGAGAGATTTTTATATTTGTGACCAATTAAATTTTATTTTCTCAAACTTACTTGGACCAGGATATACAGATGTAGATAATGCCAATTATGCCCAAAACTAAAATAATTATGGAAATGGCTATCAGGGTATAGGGGAAAACTTCATCATCAATGGCAATGGCAGCCTTGACCTAAAAAATACAAAAAAATAACATTATTAAATAAATTTTTCAAAATTTCCTTCTATTTCCTTAGATTAGCTTACCTTATGCACCTGTTGCTTCATTTCAATGGGGGCATAGATGCCCTCGGCTGTGGCCCGAGTCTTAGATGAGGCAGCAAATATCACCTCCGATCGTGCCGTGGGTTCCAGTAAAGTTTCCTGCACCACAGTGGCATTACGTGGTAGAATCTTTTCCGTCTTGGGATCAATCAAATAGAACCAAACATCCGTGGCAGCGGGGTTTTCCAATATGGTACCATTTTCATTTAAAAATTTACGATTACTAAATCTTTCAATACCGCTAATGAGACCACCGGTCTTTTCCGAGAACAACTCTTCCAGGGCGGCATAATGGCTGCGCAATTCATTGGGTGTAGCATCAGAGAAGAAGAGGGAATGTCTTTGTAAATCGGTGATTTTATTGATGACAATGCGAGCCCGCGTCCTGTGAGAACCCATTTCCTGACCATCATTGTCACGAGCCTCCACATAGAATATCATGGGGAATTGGGCCTCATCACGGAATAGCTTGGCGGTGCGCAAAATACCTGTGTCTTCGGTCATGGTGAAATAGGTAGAGGGCTGGCAGAAGAAAAAAATATGAGATTTAGTTTCCTTTTTAAATTATGCTACTCACCAAATTCTCATTACTGATGCTGTTGTCTTCCTCATCATAAAGCCTGTAACGAATCATGCCAAACTTTCCGGAATCCCTATCGGTGGCGCGTACTTGCAAAATCGGCGTATCAATGTCCATTTCAGGACTAACCACGCCATAAAAAGTGTCCTTACGGCCTCGAGCCCGATTGAAAATAAATTCTGGGGCATTATCATTCTCATCCTGGACAATTATCTTAACCGTGGTTGTACTCTTCTGGGGATTAATGAAATATTTATGCGAAGTTAAGCGTAAATCCAATGAAAAGGTGGTCATATTTTCATAATCCAAATGCTTGATTAATTGAATACCACAGCCGTGATCCTCTTGGGTAACATTGAATAGACCCCATTCATTGCCGGCGATAATTTCACATTTGAAGCCAGGGTTAGATTTCACCGATTTTTTCGAGTTAATAACTTGTATCAATTTAATGGTGGCATTGATTCCTGCGGTCTCTGGAACCCCTGTTGTGTAGCTATCATCACTGAATGCCAAACCCAGACTTTCGGCTGTGGTAATGACACCATTATCGGTTCTACCTTCCATGGCGCTATCCTCATTGGGGTCGGTTAGCAAATGTCTTACAAAAACTGGCAATGTGGCCACAGAACTCAATTGCGGCTCACCCATATCATAGGCCCGAATGTCGACTTGGTATTCCGTATCTTCTTCCTTGCGCAATTCATCGCGTATGCGTATTGACCCAGTATCCGGATCAACTTGGAAATATTTCAATGCCTTGCCACGACCCACCATTTCGTAACGTACCACATTGCCGGGTGAGGAGCCATCACCATCTATGGCCGGCATGGTGGCAATCATGGCTCCAATGGGTTGGTCATCATTGACAGTAACCGGTTCTGGTACCGAAACAAACACGGGTCTAACATCGTTGCGATCTTCCACCTCCACCACAACTTTCACAGTGTCGCCAGGACCATTTTCGTCATTTTCAATAGTGCCCACAATCAGTTCATGACTCTTTTGTTTTTCATAGTCCAAGCCTTTGGTGGTCCTGATCTCACCCGTCGAGGGATTTACCTTAAAGAATTCTGTGGCACCTTTGCGTATAACATAGGTTATATCGGGAGTGGTATCTGGATCATAGGCCTGAACGGTGGCCACCAAGAAATCTGGCTCATTTTCGGGAACTTTTACATCGATACGGGTATCAGTGAATTTTGGCACCTCATCTGGTAGATCTCTAACCTGTACCGTAACACTGGCCGTTCCCAGGCGGGCATCAGGGGCACCATCTTTTGCTGTAACCACAAAACGATATTCATTTTGTTTTTCATAATCCAGCGCTTTTGAGGTGCGTATCTCTCCCGATGTACCATTGATCGAGAATGGTATATCTTGCGGTATGGAATAGGTAATTTCCGCATTAATGCCCTCATCGGCATCGGTGGCATGGACAATACCCACAAAGGCCTGTTCACGGCCCTCATCAACCTGGAAGACGTACGGCAAGGTGGATTCATCAAACTCCGGATTTTTATCATTTATATCGGTGACCTTGATATTGACAGTGGCACTGCTGGACAAACCGCCATTATCTTCCGCTCTTACAATAAGCTGATAGCGCGTCAAACTTTCACGATCCAATTTGCGTATCACGGAAATAACACCCGATTCCTGGCCCACGGCGAATTGTCGCAAATCATTACCCGATACAATGGAATATACCACCGGATCATTTTCCGGATCCTCGGCGTGGATGACGGAGACAGTGGAATTAATTTCGGCTCCTTCGCTAACTTGAACCTCATAGACGGATTTAACAAATTTAGGAGGCTTAGTGTTGGGTCCTGGGGTAACCGTAACCTCCACAATGGCCTGGGAAGAAAGACCACCCACATCTGTGGCCTGTACAGTTATACTATATTGTTCTCCCGCCAAGAGACGACCTCTGGTCTCAATTTCTCCCGTCTGTTCATCAATGGTGAACTTTTGCAAACCATTATTGGAAACATGGTAGATGGAATAGGTAATGGCAGCATTTACACCCTCATCATTATCTGTGGCGGTTACCTGGGCCACCTTACGTACACCATCTCCAGCTGTAATTGATACAGGGGGAACCATGGCAATTTTCGGAGCATTATCATTGACGTCTTTAAGGATCACAGTCAAGCTGAGAGGAGCACTGGCGGCATTGGTTTTGGGTTCACGGGCCACAACCTGGAATTTATATTTACCCGGTGCCGGGGGATCACGATCCAAACCTTCCTCGTTTACCACCAAAACACCTTCGGGCGTTACCTCAAAAGAGGGTGTGGTCAGTTCGTAGATATAATCCGGCTTGGGATCATCTTCGGTTAGATCAGCATCACTGGTCTTAAAACTAATCGGTTTGCCGTGTTCATCTAAAACTCGCGTACCCAAGGGGGAGTTTTCATCCACAAAGCCCACAATGGAACTGGCGGATATAACTGGTGGATTGGCATCGACCGGCTTGACATTTATTGTCAGTTTTGCTGTGGTAAATCGCTTGATCATCGATACCTCTTCGGCCTTTACAATGATGTCATAACGTTTTGCCGTCGAAGTGTCCACCGCCTTAATTTGTTTTAATACCCCCGTCTGCTCATCGATTTCAAAGTAGTCGGCATAATTTCCCGGCATACCACTGGCAAAAGAATAACGTATCGGAGCACTAATCGTATCCAGGTCAACAGCTTGTATTCTTTCGGGTGTCACAGTTAACACACCTTGCAGCGAGCCAGCTGGCACAGAGGCAGTGTATTCGGGATTAATACAGGCCCCATCGAGCAGTACACAATTGCGGTAAATAAATGATGGATCCAAATCATCTGAATCGGCAATGTTTACCGTCAGGGTTGTCGTTGAAGTTAATCGCTCAGAAACATTGCGAGCACGATCCTGGAAAGAGAAAAAAGTGGAGAGAATGGAAATTACTTAAAATGAAATGAGAGAAATACAAATGCGTAAAATACAAGAGAGGCTCCTTAAGGAATTCTGTGGAGAGGAGACCTTCTACTAGACAACTAGTGGGAAAGAAGTCCTTTTAAAAATCTTCTATACAATAAAGACTTGTCTTCTATAGAAAGAAGACTTTTAACAAATTTTCGCTTGGAAAACATTCTTTCACAGGTTTCAACAGAAATAATACCTTTAACAAGACTTCTATAGAAGGAAGAGTTTTACTGGTCTTCTCTGATAACAAGACCCTTTACAAGACTTCTAAAGAAAAATATCGTTTTATAGGGGTTTCTCTTAACAAGGCCTATTTGGACTCTTTACAACACTTCTATAGGAAAATGGCGTTTTATAAGTTTTCTGTAGAAAGAATAACTCTTTCAGGCGTTATATACAAAGGAGTCCTTGTGAAGGTCGTTTGCACAGAATACCTTTTTATATGTGTTTCTCTTAACGAGGCCTATTTTGGATTTTCTCTAAGAAAGACCTTATACTACACGTCCTCTATAGAAAGAGGGTCATTCATAGTTCCTCTCTAAATAGAGGATTTTTTGCATTTTCTTATAGAAACAAGTTTTACCGTCCTTTCACAGAAATGCCTTTGCAGAGGCATTTTCTGCAAATAGGTCTTTTACAAATGTTTTCATTAAAAATAAGACCTTTACAACTCTTCTACAGAGAAACTTCTACTGACCTTATTTATAAAAACCTCTCTTATTTTGTGTCTTTTGTGTCTCGTACCATCGCTCGTTACCGTGATACTGGTAGCGTAGCATTGAAAATTCAAAAAGTGCAAGAACTTACACCGCAACAGAAAGAAAATAGATTCAAGAGAGCTAAAGAGTTGGCCGAAAGTAATGAAATGCAGAATTTGGTTTTCTCCGATGAGAAAACATTTGTTATCCAGCAGTTTGTAAAAAAATAAAATGATCGTGTTTACTTGCCAAAGAGGTCAGCTGAAAATGTGCAATTCGGTTGGCCACTAGAACACAAGCGCCGGCCATGGTGATGGTGTGGGCCGCCATAACAGCCGATGACCGACGACCGTGGCATCAGAATAATTGCCGAACATTATCGCAGAAATATTCTGGAGGCTGTATTAAAGTCTTGGTCACGCACACATTTTGGCCACAGATCTTGGGCATTCCAACAGGACTCAGCTCCAACGCACTCAGCACGCGTCACCCAAGAATGGTTACAAAATGAGGTTCCTCCCTTCATTTCCAGCGCACAATGACCACCAACGTCTTCGGATACCAATCCGTTGGACTATTGTGTCTGGAGTATTTTGGAAAGCAAGGTTGGCACTAAAAAATACCAAAGTGTCGATCACCTCAAGCAAGCGCTTCGCCGGGAAATGGGTCAAAATACCGCAGAACAACTTCAGGGCGGCGTTTGACGGTTTTCTTGGAAGTTCGAAGGGCATAATTCGTACCAAAGGTGACCAATTCGAACTAATCTAAACTTATTCCAAAATTTGATGCTATTTCCGACATATTTTACTCTCATTCAATAAAATTTAAAAAAATGTAAAAATTATGTCATCTGACTCACATTGACTTTTTTTGCAGTTTTTTATCTTTTTTTTTATTTGGTTCTTCCGTAGAAAGAATTCCTAGATCCGCTAAAATGTTAATCTTTGACGGCCTTGTTCCATGTTCTTCTATAAAACGAACGCTTTTAAGAGGTCTTCTCTAGAAAAATCTTTAGTAGATCTTATCTAAGATAACACTTTTGACAGGTCTTCTCTGTAAAGAGGAATGTTTGCTGCATAATATATTCGATTTTCAATTTTAAGCTGCGAATCACATACAACTTCAGATTTTCCATTCCTTTGAAGGTGAGGGCGAGTTGGAAAAAATATTCCACCATATAAGGAAATCAGTTTTCTGTCAGCTAAATTGTTGTGTCTACACTGGAGCGTGTTTATGTTGGTGACAAACAAATTTGTTGGGTTCAATTCGGTTGCTGTTTTATGGTTTGTTTTTTTTATTCATTTAAAAACAAACATACATTTTTTTCCAAACTTCAACAGCAAATAAGCTGAAATGACCAAAAGCCAAGCAACGCATGTATTCCGGGGGAATAGTTAGCGAAATAAACAAAACATTGCAGGAAAAAAAACACCAACAATTAATCAAGGAAAACACCATAAACTCTTACTTTTTTCCTGGCGATTTTTTTTCCAACATGAAGCAAAATTGTTTCGATACGGACACTTTGGAATTTCACTAACAGCCAACAATTTAAGTATCAAACTATTTTGGAGTTTGAACATCTAACTAGGCAAAAAATCAACTCTTGACATGTCAGGCATTCAACATGGATGTTAAATTGTTTGAACTAAATTTGCATTGGAAGAAAGCTTAAAATCAGCGGCAGCAGCAACAACCACCACTGGAAGACAATGTTTAAAAAAAAAAACACACTCAGTCTTATCGATCATGATTTCCAGCGAATAGTTGTTTGTTGTTATAATTTTCACTTCTGGCAAGGCACAACATTACTCCAGTCCAGTCTAAATTAGGAAATTGAAAGTATGTTGCAGCAATTTTGTTTTCTTAGAAAAAAACAAGTAAGCAAAGGCTACAGTCGTGCGGGGCCGACCGTTGAATACCCTACAACACTATAATAAATGATACAGTTTATATAGGCGAGATACTCGAAAGAATTCCACAAGATATTGTGATAAATAATAAAAGAAAACATCAGGTTTCGTTCTTTAATTTTCGAATAAAAGCAACTTAAACTAATTTGATCATTTCCAACTTATTGATAGATATTGCACTTAAATGGTCTTCCTAGATCTGGAACCAATATTTCCCAAAGACCTATAATCTCTCAGAAGTGGCAAAATATTAACATTTATTATTGGTTTTTGACTGAGACGCATCTATATGAGATACAGACATTTGACTATATACTTCAATGAAATCAGTGCGTCTTTCCAGTATTTGTGAATTCTCCAAAAAGTCACTGGAATGGACATTTTCGTATTTTGTCTACAAAAGTTGGCAAACTATTTCGCACATTGAATATTTTTGGATGGCCATCCAAAACTGCTTGGCTTTTGCAATGTCCGGTAACCCCCATAATTACGACCTGCTGACAATTTTGCAGTTTTTGGTCTGTTTCAACCCCTAAATATATGGCGATCATCTCCAAAAAGAATAGGTTTTTATTCTGACCCTCATCTTATCTCCATGCAAAATTTCGTAAGGATCGGGCCATAAATGCGATCTGTATATGATATCCTGATATCCTAACTACTTAGTTTTGTTAGCTGTAAAAATATTACCAAATGTTTAATTCAAAATGAAAATATGCCAAAAATATGACAAAATGGAAAAAATATGAGAAAATTTTACAAAATCAATATTTTCATCTTTAGAGAGATATTTTTATGCGATTTTTTTAGACGTTTTATGTTTCTTGCCAAGAGGCCATTCTGAATTAATGAGAACTGTCGAAATCAGTTCAGCCGTTCTCGACATATAATAGATTTTTCAAGCATATCTTCTTTGATAAACATATATATCGCACATATTTTGCTATATATCCGTTTTGTTGGATATTAACATCAATGTAAAGATCAGAAGTAACCTTGTCATGGCTTTGTGATTTCGCTGGGATTTAAAATATTCGCGGTTTAATGAAAAATTTTGAATTTTTTCAACAAAAAAGATATGGTCTATTTTACCCGCTAAATATTATCCGATGACCACCCAAATGGGTAGGCTTCTTGCCAGCCCTAAACTCTAGCTACATGCGAAATTCCGCGTCGATTGGTCTATAATTGCGACCTGTAGAGCAAGTGCAAAATTAGGATTTTTTTCAATTTTTGGTCCATTTCAACCCCTAAATATTATGCGATCATCACCAAAAGAAATAGGGTTCTATTCTGACCCTAGCCCCACCTCCATTTTAAATTTCGTGAAGATCGGACCATAATTGCGACCTGTAGAGTGATTACAAATTAACATGGACAGACGGACAGACGGACGGACGGACATACATAGCTAGATCGACTCAGCTCGGCGAGATATGAAGATCCATATATACTTTCCTATGTGGGAAATCAATATTTCGTGGTGTTACATAATTTTTGGCCCAATCAAACTTATAATACCCCCAACACATAGTGTTGTAGGGTATAACTAGACAACAACAATATGCATACACGAGAAACACGTTATTGCAATTTCGATGTCAATTGTAATTATTCACACTAAAATCGAAATGAATCGCATGAAACAAGACATATGTATATCGACTACATGGCACACACACATACGTGAGTACAGGAAAAAATAGCCTAGGATAACTTCATAGTTAGTAACACTTGTGGAGCGCAGGGGTTTTTTTCATTGGATAGGCATTACGTTTATTATAAGATCTTTTCTGTTACAGTTGTTTCACACTTTGTTAGGCCATTGGGAAACTGGACATTTCCTTATATTTGCCCACTGCAAACTAATCAATACATTTTGCATGGAAATGTGGAGAATAAAAAATATTTAAAATTGGTAATTTTTACGTGATTTTCATTGAGGAAAACAAACATTGCATGTGTACAGATGTAAAATGATTTGTGGTTTGTTTGGAAGTTGGGTTTGGACTTTTTTGTCTTCGCGTTTTTCACATGCAATTCGAACTATTTTAATGGTAATTCGGTAATTCTATTTGGCATTCGCAATATTTTAATTGTAATCGAGAATTCCGTAATTCGAGAATTTAATTTTCAATTCGAATTTGTCCGTGTGAAATTCGAATAGTTTAAATTGTAAATTGAATTGTTCCATTTGAAATCTGTAAAAGAACAAAGAATCCAAACGAACTACCTCACCGCAGAATTGTTGGTGACGAGGCTTCCGGCAAGTTGACTGAAAATTCAATTTTTTTAATGAAAAATTGTGTTTAGCGACAATACTCATTTTTGGCTC